ACACTAAATCATACACACGTAAGAAAATAACAGAAAGAAAAGTAAGTGTGTCAATAGAATAAACACTTAAAATTGCAATTAACAATTTAATTGGTGTCGGCGGGGATCGAACCCGCGTTACGTACTGTAAAATTTACAGCTTGCGCTAACCATCTGAGCTACCACGGCTTAATCATATACACACACAAAATATTTAAATATAATTTGTTAACACTAAATAATAATAATAATAATAATAATAATAATAATATGGCGTAGGGAAGTGACGACCCCATCGCCCGTTGACGTAACGGTTATGTGACAAAACGCGACGTCGGCGCAGTCAGTCAGCATCCTGCCAAGAGGTGTGAGCGCCGTGCCTAGGCAAAATTGTAGATGCAAAGGTCCGTTTGTGCATATGACCCAACCACGAAACGGTGCCGGGCTTGGGCGTCTCCCGTTATTTGGCGCCCATAAAATGGATGATGGAAGAAATACAAAAAGGAACGCGCATAGGGCCGCTGCCTGGGGGTCGCCGGGGCGCGTCTGGAGCTGGCGCTGGACGCGGCAGCATGCGGGCCGCCAGCCGAGCGCGAGGAGCTGCACGATCACCTAGCAGCCCCTCGCATCCATCATCCCCACCAGAAGGCTTGGTGTCGGCTGGGTCTTCTCGGACCCAGCAAGCGGCACCCGCCGCTGGTGGAGCACGTCGCATGCGTTGGACAAAATCCATGAACGAAAACGCATTGCGGGCGTACTATAGGGCGAAAGGGGAAGAAACTGTGGGAATAGCGTATAGGTCTCGGATGCATTGCTTTTTTGCTGAGCTGGAGCCGTCTATCCCCGTCACGGAACAAAACCTGGCAGACCGAGTTCGGTACATCATGCGCTCGAAAATATTTGATGATGCCGAACTCGAACGACTACGACGTGAGGCTATTCCGTCGTCGAATGAATCGGCTATGGCTGGAGATGCAGCTCCACATTCGACAGACCAGCATCCACACGTGGAAGCCGCCATGGATCTTCCAGTTGTGGTTGATTCGAACGACGATGAAATAGTCTCCCACGAACTAGAGCAAATGAGGAGTATATTGGAAGAGGCGATTTTGGAAACGCGCAGCACCCCTCTCGAAAATCGACCGCGACTTCCCCGCATACCCTTAAGCAAGCGAAATCGGGCTGTCGTGAGGGCTCTTAACCCAATGCTGGTGACCTATTTGGAAGCCAGCCGGGACCTTTGCGAGACGGACTCGATTCTCTTTGGCGCCGCAGTGGCAGTTTGCCGTATTATTGGCGCCAAACTACCCATGGCTGGACGCGCTACTACACAAAGTAACGCCATCCCAGCCTGGAGGAAAAGAATCGAGGACCGTATCGCAAAGGCAAGGGCCCTTATCGGCAGACTGACAAGCTTCAGGTCGGGTAATAATAGACCGAGGATTATGCGCACCGTTAGGATGGCGTTTGCTGGGACAAATATCAGTTTGTCCCAGCCGGATATCACGCAGAAACTAACGGAGCGCATAGACGACCTGAAGCAAAAGATCGCTGCTTGGGGGAAGCGGATTCGACGATTTTCCGAGGGGTCAAGGCGGTTCAACCAGAATCGTCTCTTCCAGAGTGATCAGAAGAGGCTCTATAAATTATTGGAGCGACCAAAGGTATGTGGAGCGGGCCAAGGACCGGATCAGGCTGACATTATCGCATTCTGGCGTGGCCTGTGGTCAGAGCCCGTAAACCACAGCGAGGGCCCTTGGATGGAAGTTGTGGCGAGCCAGGGTGCGAGTGTTACGCCTATGGACCCCATCACCATAACGCCAGAAGACGTGGCTGAGGCGGTCCGTAGGGCCCCGAACTGGAAAAGTCCGGGGCTCGACGGGCTGCATCATTACTGGCTGAAGGGGTTCGTAGTGTGTCACGCTGTGCTCGCCCGACAGTTTCAAGAGGCTCTCGACCAGAAGTCACTCCCGAGCCTCTTCACTACTGGGATCACTCACTTGGTTCCTAAAGATCAGGATACCACAGACCCGAGCAAATACCGCCCCATCACGTGTCTACCCACCATATATAAGACACTGACATCCATTTTGAGCGCGAGAATCACTCGTCACCTGGAGCTAAACCAGGTGATGTCACGCGCTCAAAATGGATGTCGGGGCCGTGGTCGTGGAACTAAGGAACCACTCCTCATTGACGCGGTCATAGGCAAAGTGGTGAAACGCAACCGTCGGAACTTCTCTGCCGCCTGGATAGACTACAGAAAGGCGTTCGACTCGGTGCCCCATACATGGCTAAAGAGGGTCCTCGAGCTGTACAAGATTGACTGTACAGTTAGAGACTTCCTCGAGCAGTGTATGGGGCAGTGGAGTACGATCCTTTGTCATCTGGGCGAGCGGATGACGGCTGCGGAGAACCACATAAGGATAAGAAGGGGTATCTTCCAGGGCGATTGTCTGAGTCCAATCTGGTTCTGCCTCTCTCTTAACCCTCTCAGTACCTTACTGGAGGGCTCCGGGAGGGGATTTCAGCTAAGGAAAGGAGGGACAAAAGTGACCCACCTTTTTTATATGGATGACCTCAAGTTATTCGCTTCCAGTCGCTCCCATCTTATGGAACTGCTAAACATCACTTGTGAATTTAGCAGTTCCATTGGAATGGAGCTGGGGACGGATAAGTGTGCGGTCCTCCATGTTGAAAGGGGAAGGGTTGCTAACTCTGAGGGCATAGACTTGTCTATGCCCGTCAACTTAAGGACCCTTTCCGAGGCTGAAACATACCGATACCTGGGTATGTCACAGAACATCGGTATCGATGAGGCTGGTATGAAACAGTCAGTTTGCGACGTGTTTTATGCACGCTTGACCAAAGTGCTTAACAGCCTTTTGTCCGGTGTGAATAAAACACACGCATATAACGGCTGGGTCATGCCTGTCCTCATGTATACCTTTGGCATACTCAGGTGGACTCAGACTGAGCTTAACGCCCTGGATAGAAAAGTCCGCACTACCATGACGTCCCATAGGATGCATCATCCGAGATCGTCGGTAATGAGGCTGTACTTGCCGCGAAAGTATGGTGGGCGTGGCTTTCTGAGCGCGCTCACCATGCATAATCGCGAAGTGTGCAGTCTCCGTCAGTACTTCTTGGCGAGATCGGATGATCCATTCTATAATGACGTCATTTCTAGTGATAAAGGGCTTACCCCTCTATCCTTAGCCAACGAGCAATGGCAGGACCCAGCAGTGCTTAGCAATTCCGACCGGGAGACCGTATGGAAGGAGAAGGAGCTCCACGGGAGGTACTACAAGGCTCTACATGAGCCCTTCGTAGATACAGTCGCCTCCCTCAACTGGCTACGTTTCGGTGACCTCTTCGGGGAAACCGAGGGTTTTGTCTGTGCAATACAGGATCAGGTTATTAAGACCAACAACTATCGGAGATACATCCTAAAGGATGGCACCGTCGACGTCTGTCGAGCTTGTCGCCATCCCGGGGAGTCACTTAGGCATGTCATCTCCGGTTGTTCGGCGCTTTCTAACTCTGAGTACTTGCACAGGCACAACCTAGTAGCCAGAATTCTACACCAGGAGCTCGCTCTGAAATACGGTCTCGTGGACCGGAAATTGCCGTATTACAAGTACTTGCCGGAAGCCGTGCTCGAAAATGACCGCGCCAGGCTCTACTGGGACCGGGCCATCATCACAGACAGGACTATTCTTGCGAATAAGCCTGATATTGTGCTGATGGACCGGGCACAGTCAAGGATATTTTTGGTCGATATTACCATCCCGTATGACGAGAACCTCGTGAGAGCCGAAACAGATAAGCAATCAAAATATCTGGACCTGGCTCACGAGGTGACGGACATGTGGGGTGGTCTGCCGGCCGAAATTATTCCTGTAGTCGTCTCTGCGAATGGGCTAATCCCAGTTAGCCTCTCTGGTCATCTGAGGCGACTGGGACTCCGTGACGGACCGCTCCGGGCTCAAATGCAGAAGGCGGTGCTCCTTGATACTGCCCGCATCGTCCGCCGGTTTCTTTCCCTTTCTCCCTAACCCTTGGCCGTTTGGTCTCCCCCTGCCGAGGGCTTCCATCTGGTTGGGCTTTTATTTATTTATGTATTTTTGTATTTATTTTATTTTATTGATATTTATGTATATTTATCCTTTCATTTTCGTTTATAATTATATATTTATACATCCCAACCAGATGAGAAAACTATATAGATACCCCACACATAATAATAATAAAGGCGTAGGGAATGACGACCCCTCGCCCCACAACATATACAAAACACTACCCACCCGAACGCCGTGCCTAGGCAAAATTGTGGGTGCAAAGGTCCGTTTGTGCATAAGACCGAACCACGAAACTGCCGCCGGCATGAGGTACAAAGAGGAACGCGCAAGGGCCGCTGCCTGGGGGTCGCCGGGGCGCGTCTGGAGCTGGCGCTGGACGCGGCAGCATGCGGGCCGCCAGCCGAGCGCGAGGAGCTGTACGACCACCTAGCAGCCCTCCGCATCCATCATCCCCACCAGAAGGCTTGGTGTCGGCTGGGTCTTCTCGGACTCAGCAAGCGGCACCCGCCGCTGGTGGAGCACGTCGCATGCGTTGGTCACAAACAATGAACGCAAACGCACTGCGGGCGTACTTTAGGGCAAAAGGGGAAGAAACCGGATGTTTGGCATATCGGGCTCGGATGCATCGCTTTTTTGCAGAGCTGGAGCCATCTCTATCCGTCACTGAGCAAAACCTGGCAGACCGAGTTCGGTACATCCTGCGCTCCAACATATTTGGTGACGCCGAACTCGAACGACTACGACGTGAGGCTGTTCCCTCATCGGATGGAAATGCTACGGCTGGGAATGCGGCGCCACTAATTTGCGCAGCAAACTGCAAATGTGGACGCTGCCGTCAATATTCCATTTGTGGTTGATTCAGACGATGATGGAATAGTCCCCCACGAACTAGAGAAAATGAGGAGCATATTGGAAGAGTCGATGCTGGAAACGCGCAGCATGCCTCTCGAAAACCGACCGCGACTTCCCCGCATACCCCTTAGCAAGCGAAATCGGGCTGTCGTGCGGGCTCTTAACCCAATGCTGGTGACCTATTTGGAAGCCAGCCGGGACCTTTGCGAGACGGACTCAATTCTTTTTGGCGCCGCACTGGCAGTATGCCGTATTATTGGCGCCAAACTTCCCATGGCTGGACGTGCTACTCAACAAGGTAGCGCCATCCCAGCCTGGAGAAAAAGAATCGAGGACCGTATCGCAAAGGCAAGGGCCCTTATCGGCAGACTGACAAGCTTCAGGTCGGGTAATAATAGACCGAGAGTTGTGCGCACCGTTAGAATGGCGTTTGCTGGGACAAATATTAGTTTGTCCCAGCCGGATATCACGCAGAAACTAACGGAGCGCATAGATGACCTGAAGCAAAAAATCGCTGCTTGGGGGAAGCGGATTCGACGATTTAGCGAGAGGTCAAGGCGGTTCAACCAGAATCGTCTCTTCCAGAGTGATCAGAAGAGGCTCTATAAATCATTGGAGCGACCAGAGGTATGTGGAGCGGGCCCAGGACCGGATCAGGCTGACACTGTCGCATTTTGGCGTGGCCTGTGGTCAGAGCCCGTAAACCACAGCGAGGGCCCTTGGATGGAAGTTGTGGCGAGCCAGAGTGCAAGTGTTACGCCTATGGACCCCGTCACCATAACGCCTGAAGACGTGGCTGAGGCGGTCCGTAGGGCCCCGAACTGGAAAAGTCCGGGGCTCGACGGGCTGCATCATTACTGGCTGAAGGGGTTCGTAGTGTGTCACGCTGTGCTCGCCCGACAGTTTCAAGAGGCTCTCGATCAGAAGTCGCTCCCGAGCCTCTTCACTACTGGGATCACTCACTTGGTTCCTAAAGATCAGGATACCACAGACCCGAGCAAATACCGCCCCATCACGTGTCTACCCACCATATATAAGACACTGACATCCATTTTGAGCGCGAGAATCACTCGTCACCTGGAGCTAAATCAGGTGATGTCACGCGCTCAAAATGGATGTCGGGGGCGGTGGTCGTGGAACCAAGGAACCACTCCTCATTGACGCGGTCATTGGCAAAGTGGTAAAACGCAACCGTCGGAACTTCTCCGCCGCCTGGATAGACTACAGAAAGGCATTCGACTCGGTGCCCCATGCATGGCTAAAGAGGGTCCTCGAGCTGTACAAGATTGACTGTACAGTTAGAGACTTCCTCGAGCAGTGTATGGGGCAGTGGAGTACGATCCTCTGTTATCTGGGCGAGCGGATGATGGCTGCGGAGAACCACATAAGGATAAGAAGGGGTATCTTCCAGGGCGATTGTCTGAGTCCAATCTGGTTCTGCCTCTCTCTGAACCCTCTCAGTACCTTACTGGAGGGCTCCGGGAGAGGATTTCAGCTACGGAAAGGAGGAACAAAAGTGGCCCACCTTTTCTATATGGATGACCTCAAGTTATTCGCCTCCAGTCGCTCCCATCTTATGGAATTGCTAAACATCACTTGTGAATTTAGCAATTCCATTGGAATGGAGCTGGGGACGGATAAGTGTGCGGTCCTCCATGTTGAAAGGGGAAGGGTTGCTAACTCTGAGGGCATAGACTTATCTATGCCCGTCAACTTAAAGACCCTTTCCGAGGCTGAAACATACCGATACCTGGGTATGTCACAGAACATCGGTATCGATGAGGCTGGTATGAAACAGTCAGTTTGCGACGTGTTTTATGCACGCTTGACCAAAGTGCTTAACAGCCTTTTGTCCGGTGTGAATAAGACACACGCATATAACGGTTGGGTCATGCCTGTCCTCATATATACCTTTGGCATACTCAAGTGGACTCAGACCGAACTTAACGCCCTGGATAGAAAAGTCCGCACTACCATGACGTCCCATAGGATGCATCATCCGAGATCGTCGGTAATGAGGCTGTACTTGCCGCGAAAGCATGGTGGGCGTGGTTTTCTGAGCGCGCTCACCATGCATAATCGCGAAGTGTGCAGCCTCCGTGATTACTTCCTGGCGAGATCGGATGATCCATTCTATAATGACGTCATTTCTAGTGATAAAGGGCTTACCCCTCTATCCTTAGCCCACGAGCAATGGCAGGACCCAGCAGTGCTTAGCATTTCCGACCGGGAGACCGTATGGAAGGAGAAGGAGCTCCACGGGAGGTACTACAGGGCTCTTCATGAGCCCTTCGTAGACACAGTCGCCTCCCTCAACTGGCTACGTTTCGGTGACCTCTTCGGGGGAAACCGAGGGTTTTGTCTGTGCAATACAGGATCAGGTTATTAAGACCAACAACTATCGGAGATACATCCTAAAGGATGGCACCGTCGACGTCTGTCGAGCTTGTCGCCATCCCGGTGAGTCACTTAGGCATGTCATCTCCGGTTGTTCGGCGCTTTCTAACTCTGAGTACTTGCACAGGCACAACCTAGTAGCCAGAATTCTACACCAGGAGCTCGCTCTGAAATACGGTCTCGTGGACCGGAAATTGCCGTATTACAAGTACTTGCCGGAAGCCGTGCTCGAAAATGACCGCGCCAGGCTCTACTGGGACCGGGCCATCATCACAGACAGGACTATTCTTGCGAATAAGCCTGATATTGTGCTGATGGACCGGGCACAGTCAAGGATATTTTTGGTCGACATTACCATTCCGTATGACGAGAACCTCGTGAAAGCCGAAACAGACAAGCAAACAAAATATCTGGACCTGGCTCACGAGGTGACCGACATGTGGGGTGGTCTGCCGACCGAAATTATTCCTGTAGTCGTCTCTGCAAACGGGCTAATCCCAGTCAGCCTCTCGGGTCATCTGAGGCGACTGGGACTACGTGGCGGACCGCTCCGGGCTCAAATGCAGAAGGCGGTGCTCCTCGATACCGCCCGCATCGTCCGCCGGTTTCTTTCCCTTTCCCCCTAACCCTCGGCCGTTTGGTCTCCCCTGCCGAGGGCCTCCATCTGGTTGGGCTTTTATTTATTTAAGTATTTTTATATTTATTTTATTTTATTGATATTTATGTATATTTATCTTTTCATTTTAATTTATAATTATATATTTTTAGAAACCAACCAGATGAGAAAACTATATAGATACCCCACAAATAATAATAATAATAATATTCCACAACTATCACACAACGCCATCTAGTCCCAAGCTAAGCAGAGCTTGTGTTATGGGTACTAGACAACTGATAAACATACTTATATATTTCTAAATACATAAATATTATAGATAAATTACACCCAGACACAGAACAAATGATCGTGCTCATCACACAAACATTTGTCCTGGGTGGGAATCGAACCCACGACCTCCGGCATAGCAGTCAGGGTCACTAACCACTAGACCAACAGGCCTGTCGTTCAAAATCATACACACGTAAAAAAATAACAGAAAGAAAAGTAAGTTTGTCAATAGATTAAACACTTACATCTATGGCCTTTGATGCGTTGAAGTAACGCAAATGTATTATTGATAGATACACTGCGGTCAAACGACCATACACTAACTCCATGACTGCAGTTGCTTGGTCTTATATAGTACCAGTAAGTAATAATTCTAATCTAAAGAATTTCTACAGTAGAATTGATAATAACTTTATGCGTCAACAACCTTATCTCACATTCTTCGTGTTGCGTCTTATTCAGTGTATTGATGACTCAAATACGTTTTGTATAACAGAAAAAATGCAATTTAATATTTAGAAATCACATAATTGATCATTCCTATATTAGTCATTGAGTAGATTGTACTGTAGTAATCTACTAATAGCAGTAATATCATGGATACACTAGATGTACAACAACATCTGAAAAAGATTCACCCCAGTCTAGAAAATAATGTTTATGCTGCTAACAGACTGCCCATGTACACCCACGTACCAACGTATATACCTAGTCAGGTCATAAGTATTGTCACACAGTAAAAACTTTTCTTTTAGAATGCTGGCCACAAAAAAGTTTATTGAATTCGAATTGTTCATGAAAATAAAACTGTATACTTTTTAGAATTTTACTCATTTTTACATATGGAGTGGACGCTTAAAAAAGACCGTGTTGCAGTTGCGATTACGCGCCAATTAAATTTTTTGATATACTGAAAAATTTGAATATAACCAAAAGATTCGTTTATCGTACCATCAAACGATACAATGAAGACTCTAGTGTAGATGACAGGTCAAGAAGTGGTCGCCCTCGATTTGTTAGGACTCCAGCAGTGATAAAAGCTGTAAAGGTGCGAATTCAAAGAAATCCCAAACGTAAGCAGAAACTGTTGGCCCTTCAGATGGGGTTAAGCAGAACCACGGCGTTAAATGAAGACTTAGGGCTTCGGGCATATCGAAGAAAAACAGGACATCGTTTGAATGCTCGTCTAATGGATCTGAGACTGAAGAGATGCCGCGCTTTGGTGAAGCGGTACGCGGGAAAAAAATATCGGGAAATTCTTTTTTTCGGATAAAAAAATTTTTACCGTAGAAGAGAGCTACAACAAACAAAATGATAAGGTGTACGCACACAGTAGTGAAGAAGCGAGCAACCGTATTCCGCGTGTCCAACGAGGTCATTTTCCATCCTCGCTCATGATATGGTTGGGAGTTTCTTATTGGGGCTTAACAGAGGTACATTTTTGTGAGAAAGGTTAAAAACGAATGCAGTTGTGTATCAAAATACAGTCCTGACGAACCTTGTGTAACCTGTTTCTCATACCATGTTCAATAACAGGCACTGGGTATTCCAACAAGATTCGGCATCAGCTCATAGAGCGAAGAGCACACAAGACTTTTGACAGCTCCGTGGCGTAGTGGCTTAGCAATGAGTGGCTGCGCTTGGGGGTCGCGGGTTCGAATCCCGCACGGAACAAGTATTTGTACGACCTACAAGTAATTGTTCCGAGTTTGGATGTTTGTCCTTGTGAAATTTGTGTTTGTAAACTGCCCCCACGATTCAGGAGAAAAACCTAGTGTGGAGGTAACGTTCTTTAAAAACAAAAAAAAAAAAGACTGGCTGGCGGCGCGTGAAATCGACTTCATCCGACACAAAGACCAGTCCAGATTTGAATCCGTTAGATTACAAGATATGGTAACACTTGGAGGAAAAGGCGTGCTCAAAGCCTCATCCCAATTTCGAGTCACTCAAGACATCTTTAATTAAGGCAGCCGCCGATATGACATGGACCTCGTTCGTGGTGAGATAGACGACTGGCCGCGCAGATTGAAGGCCTGTATTCAAAATTACGGAGGTCATTTTGAATAAACTATAGTGTCATAAGAATCTATGTTTTGTTAAGTTCATTTTGGTATATAAATGGTTACATAATGAATAAACTTGTTTCAATTATTTTACATTAAACATGTGATAGAATTTATGACCTGACTAGGTAATATGCAATTTGGGTACAGATGATAAACCAGGGTCACATTGGGTAGCTTTATATATCGATACGAATGACGTCGGTGAATATTTTGATTCATATGGACGGGCACCTGTACGAAATCGTAAAAGATGGAACTGGAATGTTGATAGGACTTCAGTTTGTGGCGAATATTGCTTAATGTATTTGCTATATAAGTTTCAGGGATGTTCAATGAATAGTTTTACGAGTATATTTACAGAGAACACATTGTACAACGATATGTTAGTGGATGAGATGTTTCGCTCCTATTTTATAGATAATAAGTAATAAGATTTTGTATTTTATAAATAAAAATTTTAACAAAATTAGGTAATGTGTTTAAAAGATGGAACTGGAATGTTGATAGGACTTCAGTTTGTGGCGAATATTGCTTAATGTATTTGCTATATAAGTTTCAGGGATGTTCAATGCATAGTTTTACGAGTATATTTACAGAGAAGACATTGTACAACGATATGTTAGTGGATGAGATGTTTCGCTCCTATTTTATAGATAATAAGTA